GCTGAACGACCAGCAAACACAGCCTTAGCGTGGGAACGACAGCGCGCTCCTCGGGCGCACGCTGAACGACCAGCAAACACAGCCTTAGCGTGGGACGACAGCGCGCTCCTCGGTCGCACGCTGAAGGAGACCAGCTAACACAGCCTTAGCGTGCGACGACAGCGCGCTCCTCGGGCGCACGCTGAAGGAGACCAGCTAACAGCCTTAGCGTGGGAACGACAGCGCGCTCCTCGGGCGCACGCTGAAGGAGACCAGCTAACACAGCCTTAGCGTGCGATGACAGCGCGCTCCTCGGGCGCACGCTGAAGGAGACCAGCTAACAGCCTTAGCGTGGGACGACAGCGCCGCTCTTCGGGTCACCCCGTCTCGGTCTTTCTATGCTGCCCGCTATCCTTTCTTTTCAAAGGAAAATAATGTTGTAGGCCTTTAAAATTTTTCCTTGTGTTGATGTAAAACATGTACAAAGTCAAACAGAAGGTCAAAGAAAAAGCTAGCAGCTTTTTCTGCCTTCCACCCTCCTAGTTGAGGTGACCCATGTTAAAACTTGGATGTGTATCATTGGACACCTTCTGCATGTACATACAGAATATGGAGACCTATATATAAGGTTCCTATCCCACTTTTTAGGGGTCGCTGTGAGTCAGAATCGACTCGACGGCAATGGGTTTGGTTTTTGGTGGTACAATGGTTAAGTATTTGGCTGCTAACCAAAAGGTCAGCAGTTTGAATGCATCGGCCACTCCTTGGAAACGCTATGGGGCAGGTCTACTCTGTCCTATATGGTCACTATGAGTCGGAATCGACTCGATGGCAACGGGATCCCACTTTTTGGAGCTCTGGTGGCACAGTGGTTCAGATTTCGGCTGCTAACCAAAAGGCTGGCAGTTTTTTTTCCCCAATAAGTACATTCAAAAACAAGTTTGGGACTGATTTAAATATGTAGGGATGTAAATGGAATAGTCAAATACCTACCAAAATTTTAATATGCTAATTTTTACCACACATATTTAAAATTACATTTTCACATATTAGTTTAGAAAATTGATTTGTTCCACTCTCACATCTCAGCAACCGTTTAACTTAAAAAAAAATTTTTATTCTGAGATAATTGTAGACTCTCAGGGAGTTGTAAGAGACAATGCAGAGAGATCCTGTATCTCTCACCCAGTTTTCCCCAATGGTGACACGTTGCATAACTACAGAACAATATCACAACCAGGAAACGGACTTTGATGTACATTCATATCCAGACACCTCCCTCCCTTTCCCCTTCCCTCCCTTCCTAACTGCCAGCAACCAATATAATCTGTTCTCATTGCTACCATTTTGTCATTTCAGTACTGTATAAATGGAATTATATAGCATATAATCTTTTGAGATTGGCTTTTTTCATTCAGAGTAATTCCACTGAGATCCATCCAAGCTGTTGGGGGCATCAGCAGTTCCTGCCTTCCTACTACAGCACGGTATTCCACGCTGTGGACTTAGATCTCAGTTTAACCATTCACCTGCTGAAGGGCATCTGCGTTGCTTCCAGTCTTGGGCTATTACACATAAAACCTCTATGAACATTGGTGTACAGGTGTTTGAGGGAACTAAGTGCCTCTCTAATACCCGTGTTTCATCATGGCAAAAGCCACTCCTTAAACAATCTAACGTATCTCATTAGTGATTGCTAGTTTACAGAGGGAAGCGAAAAAGCGATATGCAAAACACTTTCTGCAGGATGTGAACGTAGCGTAAGAAAGAGGAGGAATATTATATACACACATCTATAAACACAAATACACAGATACACGTAAACGAATGTATGTTATCTATAAACATTCAAAACTAGAATGAAACGGAGGACTTTTTGGGCTAATGTGTCTTTCCCACCAATACTCTGTAGATCAAAATGAACTCACGGAGAGAATTCCATATGAGAGATCATGTAAAGCTTGAATATAAACATAAAGCAACTCCCTCTGAGTCACAATTTTTGGGCAAATATGGTAACTTTAGGAATGTTCGTTGGATTCATCTTTGTAACAGTGAAAAACTGGAAGCAATCTAAATGACCAATAACAGTTACGATACATGGAAAATGGTACTTCAAGAAGTAATTAAAAATTATACAAATCTGGCTTACTGGCATATGAAGGTGTCTATAGTAAGTGACAGCAAATCAGATTATAAGACAGTGTAGATGGTATGATCTTATAGTCATAAACATGGTTGTATTACATGATTAATAAGTATAAAGAACAAACTGTGAAGAGCAATGCTTGACAGGTGGTAAGCACGCAATAAACATTAGTTCACAGCCACTGCTGTTGTTATAACATCTGATATGCTTATCTCACTTGGCAAAAGTTGTCCTTTCCATCCTCTTTCTTAACCCCATCCTTTTCTTATATTCCTGTATATTTAGTCTTCTGGTGCTCCACTAAAAGGCTTTTAGGTTCCATTAATTCTCTTCACTGAGGGAAATTTAAAACAATTTTTAACAGCAATCTAACTACATCTTAAAATCATCTATGTAAAATTTTTGACCATAATGTAAATATTTATATACTGGCCCTAGAGCAGAACAGTAAAGTTCAGCTATAATAATATTTGGGATATGTTAAACTAAAATGTTTTCCTTACTATTTTGAAATTAAAATAAGACTTCTCTTAGATATTTAAAGGAAATGTATTATCTAAATCTAGGATATTATGTTTTGTATGTGAAACTTTTGTACACTATTATATTCAATGTTATATGCCCTGACTATGCTCAACATGTATATTTCCTATCCTGTGAACCAAGGAAGAGTTAATATACATCTAAATATAGGTAGTTTGAATCCATACAGTGGCACCGTGAAAGAAAGGCCTGGCAATCTACTTTCATAATATTACAGCCATTGAAAACCCTATGGAGAGCAGTTCTACTCTGAATCACGGGGGGTCAGCACGAGTTGGGATCAACTCAAAGGCAACAGGTCCGGCGGCTTGTTTTTGTTGTTTGTTTTGTAGCGCTGGCCCCACGTAAAATGTCAAAGGAGGCAAAGTCTGTCCCCCTCTGCCTTCCCATGTGATATCAGGCTTCTTTTTTTTTCTTTCCTCCCCGTCTCTCCAACCCCTACCAGCAGCTGCTTTCCCCTCCTGACTCAGCGACCCAGAGCTTCTTCTTGCCACCCTCAACAAAACGTCCTTTCAGGAAAGGATCTAATAAACTTTATAGTAAAATATAGTAACTGATAGGCTTATTGTGCTACAGGTCTTGGGGATATTTGCATTTTGAACAAGGGATAAAGGCCTCTTTGGTTAAATAAACGAAATTCCAATTGTGGAATTTAAACTTAAGTCATTAACAGGAATGAGATTTGAAAGAAATAAGAGCTTCCTAGAATTATTTAAGCTGTTGCCTGCCTAACTAGCTTAAAAACCCTATCACTATATAATTATTCTACTCGTATAGTATTATGCCCACACTGCTAAAAACTGGACCATTGGAACTAAGCGTCAGTTTTACTAACTTCAATATAAACGTAGTTGTACATGGTATTAAAAAAGCAAAAAACTTTATCCTACCATGAGGCCATTAAAAAATTGTAAGGAAATCCTTCTTTCAAATTTGCCAAATAAATCTGAGTTCCTTTTAACAGGAGCGAGGGAGGATGAGAGGGAAGACGGAGGAACAGGTGAGAGAGGGGAGGAGGTAAGTGGCCTGCATGCTGTCACCCCAGTAAGTGCAGAGCTGGCACTCCTGCTGACCCAGAGCACGAGACCTCCCTCGGCGCCCACATTCTCAATGGTTAGGACGGTTCCTTCTGCTCTCTGACTTGCAGCTGTGATCTTACAGCTCCTAGAGGCCTGTGCTTTCAAAAGCTTCCTGTTTTAATGAAAGTATATTCTTGATATTCCTTTTTTCTTTAAAAGCGTGAGAAACAGTAAAGGGAAACCCAACTTACCTGGATGTAATATGTGCCCTTTTCCTGAGCGAACATCATTAGGAAACAATAATCTAGGTTTTGTTTTGTTCTCCATCTGAAACAGAAATTTTCAAAAAGGGAGAAATCAGACTCAAATTCAGTGAAACGAGATTAGACGTAGAAACTTCAAGTATTTATACTGTATATTGTGTGTGTATATATGCTTTATATACACTTAGCATAGACAGTCAAAGAGAATGCATTTTTCTCTCGAGAGGCTTTATCTAAGTGCATTCCCCCAGAGTACCAATCCTCAAGATATCCTGAGGCAAACAAGGAGTCCGATGTTGTGTCAGTTTGGGAAACACTACACACATCTCCCCTGCTGGAGAGTGACGCACAGTAGAACATTAAGGGCACTGAGACAGCCAGCAGTAAAGACATATGTTGAAAAAAGTTTTAATCCAATATTTCCAACTTCTTTGACCACAGGCCCTATTTTCAGTCACATCTTAATGTGTCACGGAACTAGTGCTTCCGAAATTAACACTCTGGGGACCAGTGCTCTGGTGTCTCGGACTAATCCTTGCGTCCAGGTAGAAACTCATGAATTTGTGTAGAATGCTTAAAAAAGAATTACACTATATTAAAATTTACAACACTAAGTCCTTCCAGTGTGTTCCTAGTAGCCTACATTGACTAATGTTGAACAAGAGAAGTGGTTCAAAAGCCAGTTTAGAAGAACATAATTAAGTTAAACGCTTTAAATACTACTAGCAAACTTCTCTGGAATATACCTTGAAAACTGTTCTGAGTTTAAGGAGACTACCTAGACTTCTGTATCAAATTCAATCCTAACCTTTTTTAAGCTTCAAGAAACAAGAACTACGTTTATCACACTCACAGGGTAGAGGGACTTAAAGAACACGTTGCTCACCGTACTCTTTCTTTTGAATCTCCAAAGGTCTCCCTTAGGGTTGTCAGGTCAGGGTAGTAGCTTTCAGGAGGTGATATTACTTCCACCAGGCCAGAGCTGATTTCTTTAGAAAATCTACCATGAGAAAGGTTAGCTAAGTTATTTAAGTTCTGTGGGATTTTATTTATCTTAACGCTCAACTTACTGTGTTGAACATAAAGCATTATCAGTAATCATTTGTAGCAGGATATGATATTCACTGTGTTAAATGAAGTAGCTCATCATTTATTTACCAGAAAATACAGGTTATTCTGATAGCACAAGTTTTTAAAAAATAATGCTTAAAAAAACCCTCTAAAATGCCACTCTTCTTGGCCAATTGCAGGCCTTACATTCCTAGAAAGTATCCAAATTTAAAATAAACAACTCAAGGCCTCACAGAAAATAAAGGATTGAAGAAAACAAACAAACGAATGCGTATGTGTGTGTATAAGTAAATACACATACCCAGGCAAAAACAGAAGTTTTTCAGTTTTCAAGAAGCTTTAAGTGTGGGTTATAGACTATACTCTGAACTAGTGTTTCCATCTGGGGGCAATTCTTCCCCCCATGGGACATTCAGCAATGTCTGCAGACACCTTGCTGGACACAGCTGCAGGCGGCGCTACGGACGTCTGGTGGGTAGAGGCCAGGGATCCTGCCGCGCATTCTGTGATGCACAGGACAGCGCCTCACAACCAAGGATCATCTGGCCCAATATGTCAATCGGGCCGAGGTTGAAAACCCTGTTCTAAGTTTTTAAATTCGTCTTTAGAAACTCAAATGTAATTTCCATTACATTTGCATTCTCCCTTTTTCTATATTTATAAATCGCCACAAAACACCCGTGTAACCACCCACCTCTGCCCAAATGATCTTGGTGCGTCATGGCAGTTTCCCCCAGTGCCATCCCCCAGGCTCAGTTTTCCTGCACACTGAGGAAGAAGTGCATCAACAGAATCACTGCATGAGCCTACAGACCTGCCCATGGGGTCTATGGGAAGGGGGACCAGTAATTATTGCCTGTTCCTTCATTTAAGGAGTCTGTGCTAAACTGAGAGCCCTGGTGGCACAATGGTTAAGAGCCCACCTGCTAAGCAAAAGGTCGGCAGTTCGAATCCACCAGTCACTCCTTGGAAACCCTATGCAGCAGTTCTACTCTGTCCTATAGGGTCGCTATGAGTTGGAATTGACTCAACAGCAACGGGTTTGGTTTTTTTTCTGTTTGTTTATGTTAAACTGTGCTTATATAAGTAAAGACTGTCAAGAAATTCAGCACTTGAGGAAAATTTAACAGATGAACAACTTAATCTTAAACTATGCATATAAAAAACACCCACGGGTTTTAACATTAAGTGTATAGTTGGCAAATAATTATTGCTTCTCTTATTTTTCCTTTTTACGTAAAAGATATGGTTGTGTGGGGGCAAAAACAGATACAACTCAATGAAGAAAATCATATCAAAGACTAGTTTTCATGATATCACTATTATAACTACTAAGGCTATGTAAGGAGAAATTTCCATGCCTGAAACCTATGAGCTTTCTGTCGATTACTACTGTGTGCCTTGCTCGCAGCGAGCGGGCACTCAGTCTTTGCAGAATGAAACAACAGTTTAGACAAAGTTTAACGCTGAAGTTTGAAACTGCTACGTGACTATGCCTGAGAGCATAACAATTTTTACTTGGTAAACAGAGTAAGAAGGCTGCTTTAAGTAATTTCATCTAGCTTTCCATATATTCACTGCCTTCAGGATTAAAGACTTATTTGATATGTTCCATACATTTGACAATTCAAGTCTTTTCTGGCTTGTATTAAACCGCACCAGTGTACCCCATTCGATAACCGGGTATACACGCACCTACTTTATGACAGTGGAGGCCGAGATAGGTGGCCCAAGGAACACTGAACGCCACAGAAAAATGAACTATAAAGGAAGGCATTGTCCTTCAGCAAAAAGCCAGGCAACAATAGGAACTAAACTACTTTCATTTCCATTGTTAAGAGGAACTTACTCTCTCTCCAGGGTGGCGACAACACTGCGGACGTACTCAACATCTGTCTGGGAAAGGAAAACAGTGTACTCACATTTATGTTTTTATAGTTTTATTTAACTCCTTAATACCGAAAGTTAAATAAGATGACTAAAACACTTTTTGAAAGCATTACATGACATCCTCAAACAACTTATGGTTTGCCTTTCCGTACTGTTCTGCTGCACTGCACTTCAGTATTGTACCACTACCTGTCACTGAGTACTTACTAACATAGTAAGCAGATTTTTAAGTTTTCATTATTTTCAATTGTCAATGTTGAATATACTATGAGTTGGAATTGACTCAATGGCAATGGGTTTGGTGTTAAGGGGCCCTGGTGGTGCAGTGGTTATAGCGCTCGGCTGCTAACCAAAAGGTTAGTGGTTCAAACCCACCAGCCACTCCATGGGAGAAAGATGTGGTAGACTGCTTCTGTAAAGATTTCAGCCTTAGAAACACCAGGAGGCAGCTCTTCTCTGTACTATAGGGTTGCTATGAGTTGGGATCGACTCAATGGCAATGGGTTTTGGTTACTGTCTTAGTTATCTAGTGCTGCTGTAACAGAAATACCACTAGTGGATGGCTTTAACAAACAGAAATTTATTCTCTGACAGTTTAGGAGGCTAGAAATCCAAATTCAGGGCGCCGGCAGGGCTTTCTCTCTCTGTCAGTTCTGGGGAAAGGTCCTTGTCATCAATCCTCCCCTGGTCTAGGAGCTTCTCAGCACAGGGACTCCAGGTCCAAAGGACACAGTCTGCTCCTGGTTCTTCTTAGTTGGTGGTAGGAGGTCTCTCTCCTTTCTGCTTGCTTCTCTTTTATATCTCAAAAGAGATTGACTCAAGATACAACCTAATCCTGTAGATTGTGTCCTGCCTCATTAACATAACTACTTTTAATTTTGCCTTATCAATATCATAGAGGTTAGGATTTACAACACATGGGAAAATTACATCAGATCACAAAATGGTGGACAACCATACAATACCAGGAATCATGGCCTAGCCAAGTTGACACACATTTTTGCAAGCACACAATTCAATCCATAACAGTTACCTTTTAATGCCCTCTGTCAATGCCCCTTCTTCTACCTGCTCTCTGTACATGCTATTTGGCACACAGACATGGCTGTCCAATTAGTATTTAATCCTCAGAGAGAGGAACTTAGGTGTTCTCCTCCCAAGATGTGAACTGGGGTATGGGAAAATGCCATCTAACCCTGTGGATAGAAGCCAGACTTCAGGGAACAGAGGCTGATGATGATATGTGATGTCTACTCATCCCTGTCCTGTTGATTCTGTAAGTAATAAACGCCTGTTGATCACACCATTAGAAGTGTCTGGTCTGTGCTCTGCTCCAAACGGTCCTTCACTATATTGAAGAACTTGTGAGTATAGCAATGTTACAGTATGGCTCACAAGGCATAAAACATCTACCACCTCATGCTTTATAGAAAAGTTTGCCAAGCCCTGACTTAGAGTAAAAGCAAAGTCCTTATCATAGGCCAGAGTGTCCTTTGTGATCTGGCCCACCCTACTCCTTCTCTGACTACTGCCTACCACTCACTCCCTCACCTTCTCTGCTCCAGTCACATAGGCCTCCTGCTATTTTACAAAATGTGCCAAGGAATGCTCTCACCTCACAGTCTTGGCACATGCTGTTCCTCTCCTTGAACCATTCAACCCTACATTCTTCAGGGCTTTGGACAAATGTCCTGGCAACCCATACTCCCTTTCCTGTGTACTCTGATTCATTCTCCATATTATTTACTACCATCTAAAAATAGTACATGTTTGTTTATCTCTCCTTCTCTGGGGCAGAATCTTTGTTCTGTTCACCACTCACTTTTTCAGTAAGTATTTGTTAAATTACCAGAAAATTTTATGGAATATGACATATACAATTTCTTCCCAATAGGCATTTGTGTGATTTATTATCAATGCACAAATGTCTTAAAATCTAACTGCTGAAAGATTACAAACAACAGAAATACTACTGAGGTACCAATACAGTAATACGCAGTTTAATATCAACAACAGAAGCAACTAACAACTAGACAGAAAATCATCAAGGATATAAAAGACTAACAACACTGTCAACCAACGTGACCTAACAGACATCTGTAGAACACTCCATGCAACAACAGCAGAATCCACATTCTTTTCAGGTACACACGGAACATTCTCCAGGATAAACTATATGCTAGGCCATAAACAAGTACTGATAAATCTGAAAGGATGGAAATCATACAACGTGTGCTCTCTGACCCCAGTGGAGCTAGAATTCATTAGAAGTCAAGAATAGAAGAATATCTGGGAAATCCACGAATAGTTAGAAATTAAACAATACATTTCTAAATATGTCAGGGATCAATTACAAGGGAAATTTAGAAAGTACTTTGCGCTAAATGAAAATAAAAATACAATGTATCAAAATTTATGGGATGTAGCTAAAGTGGTGCTTAGAGGGAAATTCATAGCTTTAAATTTCTGTATTAGAAAACAAGAAGGAAAGATGTCTAACCAATAACCTAAGCCTTCACCTTAAAAATCTAGAAAAAGAAGAGCAAACCAAACTAAAAAAGAGAAAGAAGGAAATTATAAAGATTAAAGTGGAACTTAATGATAGAAAACAGAAAAATGATAGAGAAAAATCAATAAAACCAAAAGTTAGTTCTTTGAAAAGATCAAAGAACAGCGACTGAATAGTAAAACCAACCAAGACTCCCAAACCATAGTACTTCCTACCATGATCTTACAGGGAGTTTTTCTACTTACTTGATGGCCAGCCAGCTAGAGCTAAAATAGCTCAAAGTGTTTATCTCAAAGGAGAAGCAAATGGGGAAAGGGAAAAGAGGAGGAAACGAAAAAGTGAAGTGAGAAGGAAAAATGGGAAGAATGCGGACAGCAGTCTGCTGTTCAGCATAATGAACCTTGTAGAACTATTAGACTCTTCACCTGTGTGCATGCATAAGTCACATTGTATTTTCAAAAATCAAAAAAATAGACAACCAATGGTACAGGAAAAAAATATTCCTATATAATGCTAGTCTGTAATCCGGAAGCAAGATCTATTGTCTAATGGATTGTTAATCTCCTCCCTCATTTTAGTACTTCAGTAAATACTTGTTCAATGAATGAAAGAATACTTAGAATGAAATCTGTACTTCTGCCTTTACTGGAAAATATAACCAACAGGTAATTATGAGAGCACAGCTAGAGTGAGAGCTGCTGTTTCTGAGGCTATTGTAGTCCTCAGGTGTTTGGGATGGAAAGAGGTTCAAAAACATTCATGTAACTAAACCCTGGCTGAAATCACACTAAACTGCCTAAATAGGAAAGATAAACCATTAAGAGTTCAGGTGGGAGCACAATGCTGACAGTATTTCCCATTTCTCCTCCTTGAAATCATATATGATTATCAATGAGGACCACACACAAACTTCAAACTCATTTTCAGTAAGACTAAAATTAATAACCAAAATTCTCAAGCTCAAAAGGGATCCAGTTTGCTTTCAGTAACTAGAGGTGATGTGAAGAACTGCCAGACTAGCTACGTTTACAGGAAGCAGCAGCAAAGAGAGTCTTTGATTAAAAGAACCAAAACCAACTAGTCTGGAACACTCCTCTGTCCCCTCATCCTCCTATAAACCAGTGGTCTAGGAAAAATCCCATCTCCTTCAATGATGATTAACAAAAAAGAAACCAACATAGCAACTATACAAAAACATAAAACGGAGGAAATGAACAGCAAAACTTAACAAAAAAAGTTTTTAAAATATAGCAACAAGACAGATGAAAAATTGTAACCAAACATCTCCCACTAATTTAAAAGACAAAAACAAAAAAACACCCAGTTGAAGCGGTTACCTCCATGAAGCAACACCGAATATCAGAAATGACTGTAATGATTCCATAATGTATATGGAAATGCAGAGGACATAAAGATTAACTCACAGATCAATGAAACAGAACAGAAAAAGACCTACGCTTAAACAGTCAGTGGATTTTCAACAAAGGCACCAAAGCAATCCAAGAGGGAAAGGGAAGTGTTTTCAACAAATGGTACTGGGATAACTGGACACACATATGAAAAACAATGAATTTTGACACTACCTTACATCACAATAAAAATTAATTCAAGACAGATCATAACCCATTGCCATTGAGTGGATTCTGACTCATAGTGACCCTCAATGACATAGTATAACTGCCCTACAGAGTTTCTAAAGAGCAGCTGATGGATTCAAACTGCCGACCTCTTGGTTAGCAGCTGAGCTCTTAACCACTGCACCACCAGGATGGATCCAAGATGGATCACAGACCTAATTAAAAGTCTATATTGGTGCCTAACATATGATTGACAGATTTGATTATTTAAAATGTAAAACTTCTATGAAAGACAAAAACATCACGAATAAAGTTAATACAAATGACAAACTGGAAAAAAAATACATCGAAGGATTATTTCCTCTCATATATGAAAATTTCTTAAAATCAAAAATCACAAGTGAAAAAATGTGCAAAGGTTATAAAAACAATTATAAACACAAATGTTCAATGAACATATAAACCAACATTCAATTCCACTCGCAAAGAAATCCAAATTAACTACAAGCAATGTATTATTTTTACCCATAAAATTGGCAAAAATTTTTGAAGGCTAATGCTACCTCATAGAGCATGGAGACAGGGAAACAAGCTCTCTCTCTCCGATTGCTGGAAGTGGGTCAACTGGTTCAACTTTTGTCGGGCATTTTGGCCACATACCAACATTTTAATGCATATAGCCTCTGATCCAGCAATTCCATACTTAGGAATTCATCTTAAGTCAGTAACTATACAAGTCCACAACAATTTATTTATAGGAATGCTCACTGCAGTATTGCTAGTAACAGAAAAAATTTGGAAACAGCTAAATGTTTATCAATCAGCAATTAAATAAATTATTTTTAAATTATATAATGGAATGCTCTGTAGTCATAAAAGATGATGCAATGATATTTATTGTTTTCAGCATGGAGAAATATCCATGATATTAAAAAATACCTAGAATGATCCCATTTATATATGTATACAAAGCATAGGCAAAATTCTCTAAGATATATTTCAATTACTAACACCTATATCTGTGTGGTAGAATAACAGGCAATTTTTCATTATAAATTTCTGTAATTGTCTTAAGCAATATGCATATGTTTACTTTTCTATTAAGGAAAACACTCAGACTATGTTCATTTAAAAAGAGATGGGGAAGACTGAAAAGTTGGAAATCAGCGGACCAGAACCACAGGAGTCCTACATCCTTTCCCATTCTAAAATTTAAAAAAAGATGGGGAAGACTGAAAAGTTGGAAATCAGCGGACCAGAACCACAGGAGTCCTACATCTTTTCCCATTCTAAAATTCTATATGATAATTAAGGAAATATTTGCTCTAGGGAACGTTTCTCACGATTTAAGAAAAACTTGCTCAAGATTTATTCTTTCCTTAGGTCTTCGGTGAAGACTGAAAAAACACAACAAGAAATATAATATTCCTCATTCACTTGACTTTTTGGCTCCTTTAATAATAATGATGGTTGAGTCTTGGGAGTACAAAAAAGGGGTGGAGAGAATAAACAGATGGTAACACCCAACTTACAAAAAAAAAAAACCCAAACCCGCTGCCATCGAGTCGATTCTGACTCATAGGGACCCTATAGGACAGACTAGAACTGCCCCATAGGGTTTCTAAAGAGCGCCTGGTGGGCTTAGGCTAAACCTTTCTCAGGTTTCAAGACTCCTAAGGAACATCAGTGCAAATCTGCAAATTTACATCCTGGAGCTAGAAATAGAGACTCACTGTTCTTAAAGACTATGTATATAATATTACTCTATTGAAAACATGGAAACTCTGGTGGCATAGTGGTTAAGAGCTCAGCTGCTAACCATAAGGTCCACAGTTTGAATCCACCAGGCGCTCCTTGGAAACTATGGGGGCAGTTCTACTCTGTCCTATACGGTCGCTATGAGTCAGAATTGACTCAATGGCAGTGGGTTTGGTTTTTTTGGTTTACTGAAAACATCACTAGTTCTGAATTGTAACTGCAGGAGAGAGGCGAAGGGAAACAAAACAAGTTAGACTTACATTAAACTATTAGGTTACCTAACCTTGACTCATCACATTAAAAAAATGCTTATAAAAGCATATTCAAATATTCAGTTATGGTTCATCGATTATATGTGGTATAAAATAGCAATTAAATCATTACCTCTCCTATGAAGACTACTATAACACAGTCCGACTTCTCTTCAGGATACAGATTATCGATAAGGGAATGAAGAGTTTCTGTGAGGTAAGACTTAACTTCTCTCTTCACTGTGGGGACCCCCATGACTATTGAAACTGAAACAAAACAATGATAGTGACTGTGTAAAAAGATTTCATAAAGACAATTTAGAAAAATACTACTGTTTCACAAGTATTATACCCACTCAATTTGACGGAAGTAATTGAGGGATCAAAACATACTAAGCTTCAGAAAGGGAAATAATCAAAGGATACAAGGGCATACCTGTAATACTGTGATTCTCTTCCACATGGCTTACCCGTAAGAAAAAAATAATTTCAAAAAACTGATACAAATTAAAGACATTAAACCTCACACTAAAAACAAATGGCTGTAAACAGTAAATCTTATTAGACAAGTAAAACTTAGGAACACTAAACACATCTTACAAACTAATGTCTTCCATACTGACTTCACGTGCCTGCTATGTGAACCCCTGGTAAGGGCTAACGTCTCTCCTGTGGTATTCTTGCCAAAATGCATAACCTCAGTCTAACCAGGAAGAAACATCAGACAAATCCAAACTGGGGGAATATGACCCAAAATAACTTTGAAGGATCAAGTCATGAAAGACAAAGAAAGAATAAGGAACTGTCTCATCTTAGGGAAACTAAGGAGACACGACAAATAAATGAAATACGGGATCCTAGGTTGGATCTTGGAACAGGAAAAAAATAATAATGAAACAAATGACAAAATCGCGGTAAGGTCTGAGGTTAGATAACGGCAAGGCAGCAATGTCAACTTCCCAGTTTTGATCACTGTGCTATGGTGATGCAAATGTTTACATTTAATGCAACTGGGTCAGGGTACACGGGAACCATTCGTACCATTTGTGCAACTTCTTAAATCTAAAATTATAGTCAGTTCTACTATAATGGTCGTTTTGAAAACAAAATTTGTTCTGACATGATTAATATGTAAGGAACAATTTTTGCATAATGTGAATTTCATACTTAGTAGGTGAAAGCAGAAAACTGAACCCAGCTGAACTGAGTTCAGAAAATTGAAGTGAGCCAAGTAGAAATACAGAATATGCACACCGCAAACATCTGCCAGCTACCTCAGTTCACTGCAAGCTCTGCATCACACCCATCCACATCTGGTGTGGCAGCTTTTCATCAGATCATCTGCCCTGTGCAACCTCACAGTAGCTTACCACCTGCAACCCTTCTAAAGCCTACTTCCACAAACCTGAGGTCTTTTTCAAAGTACAGTACCATATGTACTGTAGTATTTGTATATTTCTTAACCAATGAACACGTGAAAAACTGTGCCACTATTTTGATTAGGTTCTTATCTATTTTTATGTAACTGACAAAGTTTTTGAGTGTTGTACTGCTAACCTCATTTTTCTCATATTAATGCACAATTTTGCATAGTGTGGTGATCTTCAGGAATGCATATGCTGTGTTATAGTAGAGCCGACTGTTCGTATTTCTTTTTTAACTTATTTTGTTGTTGTAGGGGATATACACAGCAAAACATACACCAATTCAACAGTTTCTGTACGTACAGTTCAGTGACACTGAACATGTCCTTCAAGCTGTACAGCCATTCTCACCCTCTCTTTCTGAGCTGTTCCTCCCCCAATAACATAAAGTCGCTTCTCCCAAAGTTCCTATCTAATCTTCGCTGCTGTCACTTTGACCCGATATAGATAGTTTTTAAAAGAGCATAATGCTCAAGGCAGACATTCTTTACTGGTGAAGCTAGACTATTGTTTGGTTTTAAGAAGAGTTCAGAGAATGTTTTTGGTTTAAGGTTTCAAGATTATCTCAGGGCAATAGTGTCAGGAGTTCATCCACCCTCCATGGCTCCAGAAAGCCTGGAGTCCATCAGAATTTGAAATTCTGTTCTGCATTTTCCCCTTTTGTTCAGGATTCTTCTAAAGAATCTTTGATCAAAATGTTCAATAATGGTAGCTGGGTACCATCCAATTCTTCTGGTCTCACAGCAAAGCAGCAGTTATTCATGAAGGCCACTGGCCATACATTCCATATCCTCCTCCTGCTCACGACTCTCCTTCCTCTGTTGTTCCAGGTGAATAGAGGCCACTTGTAGTGCCTTGGACAGTCAGCTGCAAGCTTTTAAGACCCCAGGCACCAAGCAGAGGAACTAGGAAGTAGAGCAGAAGCACTACACATGTTATCAGGCCAGTTAACTGGGATGTCCCATGAAACCATGACCCTAAACCTCCAAAGCAAGGAACCAAATCCCAAGAGGTTTTGGGTTGTAGCCTCAGCAGTTACTCTTCTTTGTTTTTTTTGGTCGTTGTTGTAACTATATCTATCATGGAACTTTTCTCAATTCAACTTTTTACAGTGTATGTATTTCAAAGTAAGTTCTAAAAAATAGTATCTTGAAAAATATGTCTTAGCTGTCTAAGTGTTACATAGCAATACAGAAGTATTTTGCAAATGTTTCATATTAACCTTAAAAGTAATTCACTCTTAATTATGTTTTGTTAGATATGCTGTAAAGTACTTAGAATTCACAGAATTCTAAAACTAGAATGAAGCTTAAGGATCATGGATTAACTAGTCTACCATCATCATTTTACAGAAAAGAACAATGAAGTCCAAAGGGTTTCAGTGATTTCTCCAACATGCCACATTCCTCTCTTTCATTTTATGGATGAAGAATTTTCAGACTCAAAAAGAGATCTACTATATCTGCTCTACACATATTTACTGAACACCTATTAAAGGCAAGGCATTATTCCGAGTGTTAGGGATATAATGAGGAACAGCACAGATAAGGTCCCTGTCCTCATGAAGCTTACATTCTAGAAGGGGGAAGAAGATAAATAAATAATGTCTTAGAGGGTAATATGTATTATACAAATTAAAATGTGGTAATGTGAGAAAGAGTGGGGGGGGGGAGCAGCACCTCTATAAACAGCGTGGTCGTGGAAGGCCTCTCTGATACCAACTGAGCTGATAACTAATGATGATCTGAAAAAGCTGAGGAAAACATGCCAGGAAGAGGAAACAGCAGTGAGGTGCTGAGAGAGAATGACCTTGACAGACTCATGAGCAGAAAATGTATCTAAAGCAGAATGAGCCTAGATTCAGAGAATTAGCCAGAGGTCAGATCATGCACAATCTGAAATTCAGTTTTAATTCTGAGTGCAAGAGAAAGCCACTCTCTGTTTGTAATCATGGGAGTAACATAATCTGATCTGTAATTTGAAATGATTACCAATTGGTGGAGAATAGACACAGCAGTGTAAGAGTAAAAGCTGTTTGGGGAGATGGGTGAGAAAGTCACTGCAGTGATTCAAGGGAAAGATGGGGGGTGATCTGGGGTGTCTGAAGAGATGAGGATGAGTAGACAGATTGGGGATATGTTCTGGAGACCCTCACCAATGGGGTTAAGACTGGTAGAGACAAGGGAATAGGAGGCATCAAAGATGACTTAAGCGAATGGGATACCTTTCACTAAGAACAACATATTTGACGGGGAGGGGGCTAGAAAACAAGAGTTCCGTTTTGACCACGTAACTCTGAGATGCTACAGAGAGGATGTTGCCCTGGAAGCAAATTCCATATACTTTAACCTACCTCAAAATTTAAATTAAAAATATTTAAATATTTAGAATATAGATTATAACACCTGTGATGTGAAATAGTCCTAAGAAGTGCTTAACTCATATGGAATTCTGAGACTATGTTTACAGAAGAAACAAAATCCATGCTGATCCTGTATGTATAAATAATGCAAATTCTCTACCCCCACCACATTATTTTGTTGTTATTGTTATGTTTAGATGGCATGTTTAGAGTATACGCCATTTTCCCCAAACAGACTCTGTTTTGGAGCTGAACTTTAATTCCTCAATTTAAATCAAGGCATTCAAGGTCTCCAAAAGCACTAAAAATCAAAGTACTAATTTCAGCCAAAACTACAAAAGTATGGTATACATGCTTATGGTAATTCACAAAATACTCCCTGTTTTCTCTACCTGCCGTCACACTGTGAGACTGCACTTCCTGGGCCCCTTACGGTTGAGGGCGACAGGGGAGGGGGCACGTGACTAACAACATTCAATGAGTCATCCGCGTGCGTAATTTACGGGCTGTGTAATTATAACTGCCGTGTGAAATCCTTCAGAGTTGTCTTCACTCTTGCGCACAGCAGCAAATAATATTCAAGATGGTGACTAGTCTGTCAACCCAGATCCCTGAGTGACCAAAGACGGACATGGATTATGAGAAGAAAAAACAAAAAAACAAACCTTTGTTATTTAAACCACTGAGATTTTGAGATTGTTGGTTATCACAGTGGAACCCAGCCTATCCTGTCTGATATGATGCTAGAAAACGCATGTATTCTAAGGAATGAGTTCAGAAGAAATATGTCAGCAAAGTGAACGATATGGCCCTGCCATCCTTTTAGGGAAGAGCAAGGTGGACAAAGGAACCAAACAAATAGAGCCAAAGGGCTGGACTGAGAACTTTGTTCAACTGATTAACTCTCCAGTAATTCCAACCCAAATATTAACTGTCCCTCTATTATGCATCTGTTATATGCCAGATAATCTGAAGTAGTCACAGACAGATCAAATCCCTGCCTCATGGTGCTTATAATTTGACTGAACCATCAATCACTATTATTTCTTTTTTTCCCGCTTTCCTAGGAAGCTTTCATGTCCTCCCATGTACGTTCCCACACATTCCAAACAACTTTTAGATCCGTCTTCTTCTTTCCATCTTTGCTACCACTAGAGTCCACGTTCCTCTTCTCACAAATGAATTACTAAAACAGAACCGTAACTGGTCCTTCCACATCTGCACTTCCTCCCACATCCTCGATCATTCTGCCCACTGCAGCCAGTGTGATCTTGGCAAAATTTAAATCTTACAGAGTCATTCTTAATAAGCCCTGCTTGAAATACTTCAGTGGCTTCTTACTGCTGTTAGATAAAAACTGAAATCCTATACATGGCCTACAAGGCCCGGCATTGTCTGGTTCCAACTCACATCTGCAGCCTCATCTTGTTGCATTCTCCCCCTGACTCTACACGACAGTGGCCTTCTTTCATTTTCTAGAACATTTCATGCTCCTCCTGTCAAGGGACTTTTGTAGTACTCTTCTTATTTTCTGAAATACTCTTTTCTCTCATTGTGGTAGACAGAACAATGGCCTCCCTAAAGATGTCCACACCCTAATCCCCAAAACCTATGAATATGTGACCTTATGTGGAAAAAGGGACTTTACAGATATGATTAAATTAAGGATCTTAAGATGGGAAAACTATCCTGGATCATCCAGGCAGGCCCAATGTATTATCACAAAGGTCCTTCTAAGAGGAAAGCAGGAGGGTCAGAGTGAGAGAAGATGTGATGATGCAAGCAGAGTCAGAGACAGATGTGAAGATGCTATGCTTTGAAGAAGGGGCCCTGATGGCACAGAGGTTAAGTGCTCAGTTGCAAAACAAAAGGTGGGCAGTTCGAACCCACCAGCTGCCCCACGGGAGAAAGTCCAGGCGATCTGCTCCCGTAAAGATTACAGCCTAGAAAAGCCCATGGGGCAGTTCTACTCTGTCACATGGGGACATTCTGAGTCGAAATTGACTTTGTGACAACTACCAACAACAACAACCCTTTGACGATGAAGGAAGGGACCACAGTCAAAGACTGTAGGTGGCTTCTGGAAGCTAGAAAAAGGCAGGGAACGAGATTCTTCCCTAGAGCTTCCAGAAGGAGTGCAGCCCTGCTGATACCTTGACTCCAGGACTTCAGAAGTGGACGAAATCAGCTTTTTAAAAACATTAACACAACTGGATTCCAATATCTATGAAGTAATCATTCTGTTACTTGTTAAAGACTTGTTAGAGAATACAATATTATTTTGGTCTCTGCATTTTAAAACCTTCAAGGAAAAAATGAACAAAGCCAAACAGAGAAATAAAAATTATTAAAGAATGGTAAACAGGTCCTACAAGGAAAACCAAGAAGCAGTAGTGGCTCTGACAAGATGCGAAAAAAAATCCTATAAATTATTTTTGGGTGTATTAGAAAAAAGCATCTATTATTGCATGAAAGGTTAAGTAAGAGTGGCTATATACTCACATTTCTCTAAGAAAAAGTAAGGGCAGACGTGAGAAAAACTTCTTCACATGACTGTAAGCTATTATTGCTGAAAGAGGATAGCAGGGGAAAAAAATGTAGTCCTTCCACCTCCCAAATCTTTAAAATAGAAAAATTACAAAGGTTTAAACATTTGCCTGCCGGGAGATGGGGCCTGAACTAGATTTCTCAAGATCCTTTTCAGCTCTGTGTCTCTGGTCTAGAGAAGAACGTCCACCTGCTTTCCACGTGCACTTTAGAATAGTCCTAAGTTACTGTGCACAGATAAAGAGTGAAATGGCCTCCTCTGACCTGCCACACTTCCAGTGGTCAATGAATTACTCCAAAACACAACTAAGACCATGGCACAACCCGACCGAGAAACAAAACAGACATACCTCCTGTTCTTCCGCTGCCAATCTGCACAGCAGGCTGGAGGCTGCCTTCATTTTGCAATAAATGAGGCAAATGATAATAAATACTTGGCACTTGAAGAGATTTTTTGCTTGTTAACTCCTTTAACAGCTTTAGGGTAGTATCTGAAATACAAAGTATAATTAATACACAGGAACACCTTACCTTACAGAAGTGGCTGATTTTACAAACATAGCTATAAAAATTTAAGAGAACTACAACTAAAGAAAATTTTCTTTCCTACTTTCATATTTTAGTGAATGAGATCAGCATTTAAAATGAAAGTTATGATTTTGCCACCTTAAAAGGAAAATGATGTTTTTGTGAGCCGAGAGTTACAGTCATGATGTGGATAGTCAGCATGAAGCCAAGGAGGTCCTTCCAGAGGACCGTGAGAAGGTGGAGCAGCAGTCGTTCACCTTTGTGATGGGTCAGAACTCAAGCTCTACTGAACAGACTCTAAGCAGGGTATCCGTTTATGAAAATGCAATGATAAGCACAGCGACCACCAATAACTTTCACTTTCATTATGCTATTACATTTTACCAAAATGTCACATGGAAGATATGTAGAGATTTTTTTTTTCTGAAAAATTCAAATAATTTAAACAGTACAAGTTGAGAATGTTTTAATATAGATCATAACTTTCAAATAGTTTCAGTTTTCATTAGAGTAACCAATGAATCACTTAATATAAGAGAAAAACTCAGTAGTTTAAGAAACATTGTTTCAAAATGCCATGGAACTAGAACTTAACCTTTTAAATAAGGACGTTGGCAGTAAGGATTTAGTGCCTCAATAATGACTTCATACAAAAATAATACGAAAATTCCATTTACAATAATGGCAAGAACCAGAAATTCACAGAAGAAATGCAGATGACTGTAATACAGGAAAATAAAGTGTAACCTCATGAATGAGGAAGCAATTACAAATGACAAAATACCAATTTCTACCTAGCAAATTAGCAGATTATACAGCAATATTAAATCATGGTGATAAAGGTTTCAACCATTCAGAACAACATCAAAAAAACCTAAAAAATTCTGTCCTGTGTTCCAGCCACTGTGCCGCGTGTTCAGGAATCAATAGTTACCAAAACATAGACCGTTTCCAAGAAAGTCACAAGCTGGGGAGGAGAACTTAAGAGTTGCCAGAAATGTGGTCAGATTTATACACAAAGATGCTCATCACAGAGTTATACACTGAGGGAAGAGGGAGAAAAAACAAAATGCCAGGAAAACACCCATTTGCCTAATCACAGAAAAATATTTAATATATTATGGTATGTGCTTAGCTGGCATATTATGCAGTCATTAAAAATGGTATTTTTGAAGAATATTTAATGACTGGTGAAATGCTCACAGTATAATACTAAGAGTAAAAATCAGGCCGCAACACACAATCACAATTTTGAAGAAAATATACATAGAAAAAGGCTAGAAGGAAACAAACGGTAACAGAGATCACTTGGCAGCAGGCTTACGGGTGGTTTGTTTTCTCCTCATCTGTACCACTCCGTAATTTTAAATGCTACTGGGACCTCATTCAAACTTTGTAATCAGGAGGGGACGCAAGGAGCATGCAACTTGAAAAAGAAGGTAAGGCACTGGATCTTGAGAGGAATCACTAGTAAAAAAAATTAAAATAGGTGACGTTAAATGAGAAAGTAAATTATTCTAGAAAGATTATGCAGACTTTGAGGCAACGGATGATATTATCAATTTAATCATCCGACTAAGAACAGAACAGAAACAAAGAGACAACTGGCGTTCATTCACCTATTCTGACTGAAGTGCTCAGAGAAGAAACAGGCCAGACAATCCCCAGAGTAACCATTATGAAACTATGTATTCTTTCTACTGTAAATCAGATGTAAGAGCTCTACTTGTTTTTAACAGCCCAAAGATTCTCCAAAGTCCACCTGAAGTCCACACAGAAGTCAAAAAATCAACATGTATAAACACAAAGTTTAATTTTAATCTCACTTTGGATGTTTTCAAAAGATGCAGGTTTTCCACTGTTGTCAATGAAACCTACACAACTGTAATTCAGCTTAATCAGATTTGGCACTTAATAAAAATTGTTTCATTGTTTAGCATAACAGTCAGTTTGGGGTGGTGATTTTCCTCTCTAATTACTAGATTCACTAAAAAGGGTAACAAATGCTGGCTGATAAGCTACTCTATACAACTTTCAAATATAATATTCCATACAGTTCTTTGAAAATATAATTTTTTATAATACCAAAAAACCATTTTACCTGAAAATTTATGCACTGCATCCTTACTTCCATTTGCTTCTGCTCCTATACGTCTGAACTGCTGTACAATGCTGTTTAACTCAGAAGAACGCTGTGAGATTCTATGCTCAGCTATTCGAAGACGTTCTTTCAAAGCAAGAAACTCTCGTTGATAAGCAATCAGTTTTTCTAGAACCAAAACAAAGAAGTTCTTAGTGTATTCCTTTTCTGGGAAACAAAGCAAAACTCAAAACCAAAATAATGGCATAATCAAAACAGAATTGTAAGAGATTGGAAATTATAATTAAAGACACATTTTCACAAGAAAATATTTATTCATTGATACAGAATTGAAAACTAAAAAAAAAGACTTCTTATATAACAAAACAACCAGTAACTTAGTATTCTTAAAATTTTAAGAATGCGAGCACTCTCCACATAGCACTTCAGAAATTCAAAGGTGCGGAGGAAAAAATACAAAGTTTTTAGAATTAACACATCAAGCAAAATACTAACATCATTTCTTAAAAGGTACAAACAACCCACTGACCTGGGTAGTGGTTAAATGCAATGTATAAAACTCTATTTGTATCAAGCAGATAAAGAGATGAGGCAGAAACTGATGATTAATACATATACAGTATATATGACATTTTATAGCATAATCATTAATTTTCATAAGCTAAATGTTTCCTCTGTACTTCTATCCTAAGATTTCCCTAGGCTAGACTTTGGCCAAATCTCTGATCCCCAAAAACACAATCAGTTAGATATAAAATGGCCCTAGTTAAAAATCATTCATTTTATTTCACTTGGAAATAAATGTGCATTTTATGAAGACAAATTTAGTGACTAAGCAAGTTTAGTGACAAAGAGTAGAAATGAGACCACTAAGAGACAAAGAGCCCAGGGAGAAGAGAACCAAAGACAGAACTGGATGCCACTCTGTAAGCACAAGTGGGAGAAGAGACACCCGGCATCTCTCTGGATCAGCAGTCCAAGCGGGATGAACACCACCTCATTAAGTTAAGAGAAACCACACCAATGGTCTTCAACTTCTATGTCAAGCTAGGTAAGTTTAGGCTACTATTTTGATATCTAAACTAAACAAAACCTTAGCAAGGCTATTTTTTTATTTACCACTATGATCTCTGCTTTATTCAAGGATAGACTCAGTAAGAAACAACTATATGAAAAATGAATCTGCATGTTTCGACGCTGGTCTTGAAGACACTGTCAGTTATAGTGCTCCTTGTTCCTTATATAAAGGCCGACTCCGTAAATATCTCTTCAGAATTTTGCGTCAGGGGAAACAAAGTCTCTGGCTCACCGTCATGCTTCCCCCCATTAAACAGAGAGCCACGTAAGGCGCTGTATTCTCCTAAATGTGACGGCTTGGGAAGGTGGAAAGAAGAAAGGGGCTGTGGTGAGGAAAGAGTATACGGGGAGCTTCAGGCGCCCGCAGAGTTCTCCCTGTGAGTAAATGAAATGCATTACCACACTCCCAAGCTTTGGGAACTATTCTGTATGTGCAAATTCACAATCAAAAAGGTTTAAAAGGTACTATTCACAACTGCAACAAAAACTATAACAAGCAATTATAACAAGAAACACACAAGATTTATGTGAAGAAAACGACAAGCCTTTTACAGAAGCACATAAAAGAATAAAAAATTAAAACATCACTTACTCCTGAATGGGAAGACTCAATCTTATAAAAAGATGAATCCTACCCTAATAAATAATTCAATTCAATACCTTTTAAAATAACAATGGGATTTTTTAATGGAATTTGATATGTGATTCTAAAATTCACCTAGAAAAAATAATGCTTAAAAATGGGCAAGAAAAATCTAGAAAATAATACAGGGGAATTTGTTCCGAGATCAGAGTATAGTATGAGATTATAGAGATTAAAACAGTGCGGCTTGCCTCATCCTGATAGCGTGGGCAAAGGCAGATCGGTCTAAGCCTACTGTGTCCAGAAATAGCATGAGTGAATTGTCCTTTGAGTTTCTCTCTCTTTATGGACACATTACAGTAGTCCCCTTCACAGTTAAGAAGTACCTAGATCTTGGTTTCTAAACACTATTTGCCACTAAAAAAAAACAGAACTCTTTGGAGAAATAACTGATTCCACGACTTGGGCAAGAAACTTTAAGATGAACCCGGAACAGTCTATGTCAGCAAGTAAGGAAATGCTCAAAAAAAATTATGGGATGTGTCAAAGGGCACAGGAGGCTACTTGAGGTCAAGTTTGAGACAATTTATGTACCAAAACAGACAATGTTAAAAATGGATTATCATCTACTGAATAAAATAAGAATCCATAAATCCATATCAACAGTAAATAAACAGATGAGGGAAATGTCTTTGTTAGAGTAGAATGCCAACTAATAAATATAGAAGGAGTGAAGACAGTTAAAAAATCACTATTTTGCAATCATCATAGTAATAACCAATTCAAGCAAGAAAGAAAAATGGATGCTATAACTGGTAGGGGGAAGTTTGATGAGGAACAGGATATTTATATCATCTCAAGGGATCTCTGCTCAAATTATTAATTACAGTGTGAAAATGATAATTTTACAGTGGAGAGAGCTGGGAGATATCGTCTTGATCAAGTGATAAAAGTTCACATCAGCAATGACAGGAGAGCCACCACGTACTTCCTGATGTCATGCTGAGGACAGGCCTCATTCATGTGAGAGTCCTGCCAAAAACGCATCATCTGAATCTAATCCCAAGGAAACAGACACACCCAAATTGAGGGACAATGTACAAATGCCTTGTACTTTGAAAAATGTCAAGGTCATCAAAGACAAAGGATGAGGAGCTGCCCCAGATTAAGAGACTAAAAAGACATGACATTTAAATGCAAAGCACAATCCTGAATTGGACCCTGGACCAGAAAAAATAAATGCTATAAAGGACATTACCAAAAAAAATAAACCCGCTGCCTTCAAGTCAATTACGCCTCATGGGGACCCCATGTGCTGCAGCGCAGAACTGCTCCTAGAATACAGACCACAGATGAGATAATACTGTGTCAGTGTTAAGTTTCCTCAACTGGATATCTGTACTGTGTAATCTCAGAGTCCATCCTGTTCTTAGGAAACACATACGGAATTATTTGGGGGTAAGGAGGCATGATACCTACAATTTACTCTTAAATAGTTCTGAAAAGAAATCAATCTATATATTAAGCATATATACCTTATATACACACACATACATAGAGAGAAAGGGAAGAAGGATGAAGAGGAGAAGGAGAAGGCAGCAGCAGTGGACACCACTGTGAAGGCAGGGGAGGCAAAAGATTCACACTAGGTGAAATGTACAGATGAGTTATTTGTACTATCTTTGCAACTCTTCGTCTGAATTTTAAAAAGTAAGCAGGTGGATTAGGTGGCATATATAGGTTCAGTCTTTCAGCAGTCCTTCCAAGATAAAGGAAACACATGGATCTGAGGGCATGTTTTTGGTATTTTTAGAAACCACCCTCCCAGAGACCAGCTCCACCAAGTGGGAAGACTACCCAGTTCCACTGGAGAAACACCTCCACCCCTAATTCCAAAATGCTCCCCTTACTTTGAAGTGAACTGGGCGCGCTTTTGAAAAGTCAGAGTAGAAAAGATCCCTTGGTTTCATGGGACATGTCAGTTAATTGGCCTAATAACATGTTGAGTGCTTCTGTTCTATCTCCTGGTTGTAAGGTCTGAGGTCTTAAAAGCTTGCAAGCAACCATCCAAGGCATGGCAATTGGTCTCTATTCACCTAGAGCAACAGAGGAAGAAGGAGAGTCAGGAACAGAAAGAGGATATGGAATGTGTAGCTAATGGCCTCCATGAACAACTGCCTCCTTGGCCATGAGACCAGAAGAACCAGAAGGTACCTGGCTACCATTACTGAACATTTTGATGAAAGAGTCTATAGAAGAAACCTGATCAAAAGTGGGAGAATGCAGAACAGAATTTCAAATTCTCATGGACTCCAGACTTTCTGGAGCCATCGAAGCTGGATGAACCCTTGAAACTACTGCCCTGAGATAATCTTTATTATCCCCTGAACTCTTCTTAAAACCAAACAATAGTCTAGCTTAACTAGTAAAGAATGTCTGCCTTGAGCATTATACTCTTTTAAGAACAACCTATACAGGATCAAAGTGACAACAGCAACTTGAAAGATTAGATAGGAGGAATCTTAGGGGCAGTGAGTTTATGTTAATGGAGGAGGAACAACTCAGAAAACAAGGTTAAGAATGGTTGCACAGCTCAAAGAATGTAATCAGTGTCACTAAATGGTACATGTAGAAACAGTTGGAATTGGTTAGTTTTGCTGTGTATGTTCTCAACAACAGCAACAAATTAAAAAAGATCCCTTGGGCCATGGACTGTTGGGTAAGGTAACAAGTATTTTCTTTCAGGCCCAAATTCTGTTGCTACTCTTAGTCCAAAGCCCACAGCTATGAAAGGACTCCGAACAGGTTGTTTCCCATCTCTCTCATACCCTCCCTCCTTCTGCCTCCACAAGTGTTCTCCACAACATCCAAACAGGTCCATACAGCTTTTAGAAAGATAAGTCAGTCAGTAAAAAATGATACCTATGTGTGGTCAGGCCCTCAGCTAGTCCTGCTGTGAATACCACAGAATGCTGCTGGCTCTTCTAAGTAGAAAGTTCTGGTCTTCCCAAGCCCTTCCTTGCAGCCTGTCATCCATCAAATCCCTCCAAACTGATGGTTACTAAAGACTTTTTTCCTAGAAATTTCTCTATTTATATTTTCCACAACACTACACTGTTCTCTTGAGGAGAGTAGTGCATCAGCGTCCAGAAATTTAGTTCAAACTTTAACATTTTAGACAAAAATTCCTCCAAATTAGTGATATGGGGTTGATAATTTCCTATTTTCAACATTAACAGCAAAATTCCTGTTTTTTGCTTTTCTTTGAATCATTTCAGTCTGTTTCTTTGGAGGAACATGGTAGAAAACTGTGAGGAAATTGACCAGGAAGAACCTGTTTGTTTGTTTGCTTGTCTGTTTTCATTGTAGACAGAATCTAACTTTTTTTTTTTTTTTGGTAGAAAATTATATATCCAGATTAGACAATGAAAATACAAATCATATTATGTGAACCTAAGATTCTACAAAATCCAAAATTTCCAAAGAAACCACTAATTCCTTCAACTCA